GAAAAGAAGGATGGGGTGACAAGAGAGCATCTTCCAATATCTCAGGGCTTCCCACAAAGAAGAGATGTAAAAAAGATGTTGAGACTAGAAAAAGTGCAGAGAAGAGCAACCAGGAGGATTGGGGGACTGGAGGCTGAAACATACGACGGACGGTTGCAGGAACTGGGCCTGGCTAGTCTAGGGAAGAGAAGGACCAGGGGAGACAGGAGAGCATCTTCCAATATTTGAGGGGCTGCCACAGAGAGGAAGAAGTGGGTCAGGCTATTTTCCAAAGCACCTGAAGGCCAGACAAGGAATAATGGTTGGAAACTGAACATGGAGAGATTCAACCTGGAAATAAGGAGAAATTTTCTGACAGTGAGGACAATCAACCATAGAACAGAGGTTGCCTTCAGAATTAGTGGGAGCTTCATACCTGGAAGCTTTCAAGAAGAGGCTGGGCTGCCATTTGTCAGAGATGATGCAGGGTTTCCTGCATGGGTGGTGGGTTGGACTAGATGACCTACAAGGTCCCTTCCAACTCTATTATTCTGTATTCTACAGTCCCTGTCTTGAACACCCCGTCTCTCTGCCTATGTTTCCAGGAGGGTTGTTTCCTCACGACTCTGGCCATAGCAAGGCTGACCTTATCAGGCTCAGAGAAAGAGCAAGGGCTGTGCCGTGCCTCCATTTCCTGTGGGTTTCCTCCCTGCGAGGAACGTAAAGTTTCCTCGTGGGGAATTCTGGGAGTTGAATTCCACCCATTTGAGGAGCAGCGAGTTAGTCTAGTTGCAAACAATCTCATGCATTTGCATAAAAATAAGGCAGCTGTTGGGAAGAAAAAAGACATTTCTTAAATTGCACCTACACGTAAAATATGCATATCTATAGAGAAAAATCTGCTAGTTGATTTAATCACGAGACAACTTTTTAAATACAGAATAACAGAGTGGGATTGGAAGGTCTTCTAGTCCTGCTTGGCCAGGAAACCCCTACCATTCTGGACAAATGTCTAATCTCTTCTTTCAAGCCTCCAGTGTTGGAACACTGACAACTTCTAGTGGCAAGCAGTTCCACTGGTTAATTGTCCTCACTGTTAGAAAGTTTCTGCTCAATTCCAGGTTGCTTCTCTCCTTGATTAGTTTCCATCCATTGTTTCTTACCTCCCGGTGCTTTGGAGAATAGGTTGCAATAGGCCGTGTCTTTCCCCGGGAGTATTGACTGGGGGATTCTGGGAGTTGCAGTCCACAAATCTGAAGTCACTCAGGCTGTGGAACACAAGAGTTAGCCTGATTGCAAACCATCCGTTTCTGGTGCATTTGCATAAAAATAAAGGCAGCTGTTGCGAAGAAAGGAGAGGTTTTTGTTAAATTGCGCCTACACACAGAATATGCATATCTATAGAGAAGAAAGCTTTAATCGGGGGGCCACTTTTTACGTCTTTCAAAGGGCTAAATCCAAGGATTGAAAAGAAAAACAACTTTACAGATGTAGGAGAAAAGCAAGCAGAGCTATGAGGCGGAGTTAAACGTGTCATGAGTTTGGAAGCCTTGTGTTGCCACAATGTGAGTCCAGCCCCCTTCAGTCTGTTGACCCTTTATCTAGTGCCCATTCAGCGCTGACCATTAGTTGACCAGACTGTTGTCTGGGCTATAAAAACAAAACTCCTACGATTGAACTTAACAAATGAATCTGGGGTTTTTTTGCGCCTGACATTCACCCACATTTATGGCCACTTTTGGCATTCCGTGGGCACAATGGTGATAGATTATAACCTTCTTGCAGAAACCAGCAAAAATATTGTAATTACTTCCAGTTTCCAACAAAAAAAAAATGCCCCATAGTGAATAGAACATAGGAATAGAACAGAATGGAATGGAATGAAATGGAATAGAATAGAATAGAATAGAATAGAATAGAATAGAATAGAATAGAATAGAATAGAATAGAATAGAATAGAATAGAATAGAATGGAAGAAAATGGAATAGAAGAAAATGGAATAGAAGAAAATGAATAGAATAGAATAGAATAGAATAGAATAGAATAGAATAGAATAGAATAGAATAGAATAGAATAGAATAGAATAGAATAGGAGTAGAAAATGAATAGAGTGGAAGAAAATGGAATAGAAGAAAATGAATAGAATAGAATAGAAGAAAATGAATAGAATAGAATAGAATAGAATAGAATAGAATGGAATGGAATGGA